TTATTAAAATTAATTATGATAAAATATTAACAGTATTAATTGAAACATTACCAAAAAACTTAAAGTCAATAACTTTTGGCCATAATTGCTTTAATCTTAGTAGTCATTCTTTGGATATTCTGATGAAGAATTGGAGAGGACCCAAGCCTTTAGCAATAATATTCTATGATAAAGATTTGCTAGACAATGATGAAATAATAATTTTAAAAAAATATCAAGATTTAGGATTTTTAAATTATAAATAATATCATTTTATAAGTGTTATTAGTGAAGAAAATGAGTCTATAGAGGTTCCGTACTCCGTACATCTGCGTCTCTGTAGTAAAAAATGCTCTGTATGAAACAAAAATATGGAATCGAAGATCGTACAGACTGGCTCTCACCAATCAACTTTTCAGAATTCACGAATTCCGTTCCGTACAAAATTAAAAAATATAAATAAAAAATGTACGGAGCAAAAAAAAATATTGCACGGAATCTCTACTGACTGAAGAAAAACCTGGAAGATTGAATCTTATATAATTTTATTATTATTATTATTATTATTATTATTATTATTATTTATTTGTCATACTTTATTATAACATAATATATTTATTATTTCATGCTATATTATATTATGATGAATGGTCATTTACTATTATTGTTACTGATGGCAAACATCAATTGGGTGGTAAAGAACAGTTGGTTGACATTTGTCATTATTTGTGGTTAACATTTTATCATTTTAATATATTGTTCATGATCTAGCATGTTTTTTCTCTAGTAAATCCTTAGCTTTGTTTATTTTGCTTGCCAGATATGGAGATCCGCCACAATCTGGATGATTCAACAGCATAATTCATCAATGTGCTTCTTTAATTTTAATTTTATTAAGACCAGTTTCCCTTTTTTATTTAATAATAATAATTTTTTTTAATAAAAAGATTTATTGAAAAAATAGATATATATATTTATATTACCACCTACCCTAAACCTAATATCAAAGCAGCCTCTCTTTTATTCATTTTTGGATCAAATCCGCCTTTATAAAATTTTGATCCACTATCACTTATTTTTTTCAATGATCTAATCAGGATCCCATTCTTATAAATTATATATAAGATCCAATTAAAATTATATTATAAATAATTTAATAGATATATTTAATAAATAATTACCATTTTTTTATTTTCATGTTTTTGAAAAAATTTTTTTGATTTGATATAAAATTCAGCCAGTGTGATACTAACCAAATTTGGTAATCATTTACAAAAATCTACCGATACCACCAAATTTGGTCAACTCTGCGCATTCAAAATTATGATTTCAAAGAAAATCTCCTTAAAATTGCAGGTTCAATACTGACTGTGTTTCTGATTTCTAATAAATGAAGTGAATTTATTGAATGGAAATGGTCATGGTATTTTTTGATTTCAATAAATGTATGAAGTTTATTGTATGGAATTAAATTATTATAAAAATGAGAAATTAAAGTGGTGGGTTGAGACACAAAAATCAAGGATATATATATAATCCTATCACAGATCCTTGGATTGTGTGAAAAAAAATTTCTGGAAATCATGTTTTTTTTAAAAATATACTTTTTTTTTTAAAGTAAAAAAAGAAAATAACATTGTCCAATAATAAAAATTATTATCATTTTTAATATATTGTTCATGATCTAACATTTTTCTCTAGTAAATCTTTAGCTTCGTTTATTTTGCTTGCTAGATATGGAGATCCACCACGATCGGGATGATTCAGTAACATAATTCGCCGATGTGCTTCTTTAATCTTTATTTTATCAAGACCACTTTCTCTTTTTTTATTTATTATAAGAATGATAATAATTTTTAAAAAAAAACAAAAAACAAAAATATATATATTATTAATTTTACTACTTACCTCAAACCTAATATCAAAGCAGCTTCTCTTTTATTCATTTTTGGATCAAATCCGCCTTTATAAAATTTTGATGATGATATTATTGATCCACCACTTCCAACATTTGGTGGTTTATATTTTTGTATTGCTTTAACAGCAAATCTACCAGCAGTTGCTACGGCTGCTATTCCTATACCAATTATTAATGGTGTAGTCTAGAGATTATTTTATTTTAAATTTTTTGTTTTTTCAGATTTATATATATATAATAAAAATTTACTTATAAATAAATAGTGAAGTCAATTGAAAGTTATAAATTATATCATGAATTATTAACAGGTATATTTAATAAATAATTACCATTTTTTTTTTACTTTTTACTTTTTGAAAAATTTTTTTTTATGTGTAGGTTAAATTAAGCATGATTGCATTGTACAACAACAGTTCACGTATGGAATTAATCATGTGACTATTAAATATTAAAAATTTTGAAATATTTTTGGTGACTTTTATTTTTTTATTATTTTAAAATTATTTTACAAAAAGAAGTTGATGGTGATGATATGATTTTAAGAAAATAATCAAAGAATCAATAGCAAGTAATGAATGAAAATCAAAGGAAAAAAAAGAGAAATTTTTGAAAGAATAATTGTGAATGCAAAAGTTTTAAAGGGGGAGATGAAAGGATAAAAAAGAAGATAGAAATGACTATGAATGTAATGATGATTTTTGAAATGAGATGTGTGAAAATGAAAAAAAGTGATGTTTGTGTGTGCGTAATATGTTATATGTATGAAATTAATTATTAAATATAAATTATTATTAAATTAATCAATTATACTTTTAAGAAAATAATTAAATTATATAATATTATTATTAGTAGTATTAAAAAATAGTCCGTAAAAAATTTTTTTTTTAAAAAATATTAAAATGTTTTTTTTTTTTGAAATGTTTTTTTTTTATTACAAATTTTATTGTAATTTTTCTTTTGGAGTAATAGGTTACTAAAGAATGAGAAGATAATCGAATTGCAACCTTTCATATATGAGATGAGATGAAAATATGATTAGGTGAAAAAGAGAGATAGAATAAAAAAGGAATGTGTAAAAGCTATGTTTTTATGAAAGAAAAAAAAGGAAGTGGTTACTCGTTAATGATATAGTAGTTCTAATGATTACCAAAAAGTCAAAAATTATAAGATGATGGAATAATTTGTTGATGATGATATTATTGATCCACCATCACATCTAACCTTTGGTGGTTTATATTTTTGTATTGCTTTAACTGCAAATCCACCAACAGTTGAGAATGATAATAACAAAGCCATTATCATCGTGTAACTTGAAAACTTTATTGCCGAAAAGGCAGACTGTCGACTCTTGATTTGGTGGTGGTTGTTAAATTTTGAAAGAACAAAACCCCAAAAATGACCGATGTGATAGATGATGGAGATGATGATGATGACGATGATGCAAAATGTTCACATAATTTTTGACTATTAAGTACAACTATATATAACTACTATACTAACTATATTATCATGATAAAGTCTCTAGGATTCCTTCTGCTATGATATCAACTTTTACTTCGCTTCTACCAACTGCTTGTAATGTAACCACACCTCTTATTTCACCTGATTTTTTAGGTTGAAAACGAACAGGTAATACCATGAATGTGTGAGGTTTGATTTGGACATTTGGGATAGGTATTGTCAATTCTGTTGTTAGTTGTGGTTGGGTTAAATTGATTCCATTATTGACACTACTCAAACTACTCAAACCGCTATTATTAGCACCACTACTACTACCAGTGTTGTCACCACCATCACTGCCACTAAAGCTAAGGACACTTAAATTAGCAACATTATCACTTATATTGTCGTTATCGCTACTATTATTCACTAATTCACATTTGCATTTAACTCTTATTAGTTGATTAGAAGGGTTACTTATTTTGATTCCAACTGATCTCTTTTTACCAACCCTAGTTGCAGCGATTCTAACTTCTTTTGTAGCAACTTCAAAATCCATCATTGACCTGGTTCGTCTTATAGGTGGAACAGCATTACTGGTAACATCAAATTTTCCTTCGCCTTGTACTCTTACACTCACGCCACCTAAACCTCCGGTTGCCTCTGAATTCATTGAATCTTCAAGCATAAAGCTTTGGTAATAGGTACCGGCCAACAAAGGACGAAAACTTACGGGCACACGTTCAGATGATCCTGGTCTTAAAAATCCACTTGTCTTCATTATCAAGAACACTTCGTCATTTATCTTTTGAGATGAGCCAGCAGAATCTGATTTACGCAAAAATGGATTTGTCGCGGTTGTTAAATGCCAGGTTACCGGTTTGTTTGTTTGATTATGTATACGAAATATTCCACTATTTGTCTCACGGACTGTCGTTGTTGGACAATTGACATTACCAGGTACTCCTATGTAAATGAAATTTTTACGCTGTGGTAATTGTTTGACAGGTTTTGAATCATCGGGTGTTCGTGATCTGCTGCCAGCACCACTACCAAATGACGAAGGTGATGTGCTGCTCTTACGCTCAAGTGCAGTCATAGATGACCTGTAACTATCTGGTGTACTTGGACGGCTACGTGATAACATTGAAGTTGTAGTAGTTGTAGTAGTAAGATTTTTCTTATGAAGTTTACCACTGCCACCACCACTACTGCCGTAACCACTGCCGTAACCACCACTGGTTCCTTCAGGGCTGCTAGGACGACTTTTTGAACCGGTTTTTCTAAGTGCTGGAGCAACTGGTAATTTACCACCAGTAGAAGAAAGTTTACCGCCCTTAGAACTACCACCACCACTATTATTATTATTACTAGTACTGTTGTAATTGTTGTTGCTATTGACATTATTATTTGAAGAGGATTTTGGTTTGTCTGTTTTTCTTTTTCTACCTTTGGCAGCTTTCATAAGATCATCAACAGTTCTTGAAATACCTTTACTACTGAATCTTTTGATAAAACTGTTGTTATTATCGCTACTGTCACTAAGATCATTGGTGCTCTTTAAAGAACGCTTTTGTTTTTGCTGTTGTTGCTTCTGCTGTTGTTGTTGTTGTGATGATGATTCTGCCTCATTTCTGGATTTCTTTTTGTTTTGTGGAATATCAACCAAAACTTCTTTACGTTCGCCATTTTCACAAAATACTAAAATTCTAGTTGTGCTCATTAAAGTTTTAATATCGACACTGCCATTATTGTTATTTTTAACGTTTCTAGATTTACTGCCAACATTATTAGTAGTTGTAGTTGTAGTGTTTTCTGAAGATTTAAGAATTCCCATGAATTTCTTTGAATCTTTTATGTCCTCCCGTTTAGAGCTAGCGATCAAATGTTTCGTAAGAACAGAAACTTTTACTAATATAACAGATTGAGGTTTAACGATCCCATAAGCAGGGGTGATATCAAATCTAAATGCGGGCCAAAGAATCTCGTAACGTAAAGGTTCGTCGGTGATATTTGAGATAGTAAAGGTAGTTTCGAATAAAGGTTTTGTAGTATTTTTTGATAGTGAACTAGTGCTACTACCACCAAGGTTACTGGGACGTGAAGTTGTTGAAGTAATTGGACTAATAATATCTTTATTGATTGTCAAACGTTCAGGTGATACCTTGATACCACGTGGTTGATCATCTACAATTTCCTCTATTAATTTATTTGGATTTAATAAACTTGCGATAGATGGTGTGGTGGTAGGGGTTGTATTTGTGGAAGATGATGGCGAGTTGAGTTTTTTATCGTCTGAGGATTCGGCAGTCAAATCAACTTCTTCACTTGACCAAATACCAATATCTTCATCTTCATCTTCCTCGTTGATAGTTTCCAATGAATTTTCTGCCAGGTTGACGATAATTTGTGGTGATTTGCTAGAATCAGAAATGTCACTTGCAAGTGATGACGAAGGACTATCATTGTTATTGCCATCATTTTTATTGTTATCATCAGTGTTATTTTTATTGTTATTAGTATTACTATTAGCAAAATTATCGGTATCAGAAGTAGTTGTAGAGGCGGAAGAGGGTGAGTTAGAAGAGGGTGAAGTAGTTGAGGTTGGGGTGGTGGCAGTAGAAGATGGTGAGGTGATGATTTCTTTTAAAGAACTTGATGAACCAAAACTTTTACTTGATAATATACTTGGACTATGACGTTGATGATATTTTCTCAATTGACCCAAAGTTTTCTTTGCCCATAAATTACCTACTTTGCCTATATGCTCAGCAGGATTATCACCAGGTTTGATTAATTCTTCTTTTTGTTTTTCTCTGGCAGGGCTAAAAGGTCTTTTTGGCCATTTCCAAGCTGTTGGGGTAGTAGCAGAGTTTAATGGAGTTTGGATGGTTGTTAAAGGAGTGGAAGGAGTAGATGTAGATGAAAGTTCTGATGATGGAGTTTTGGCCATTGGAAATGACGGCGATGAGTCTGTGGTGATTTTTACATTTTTTGACCTTGATCTTTCAAAAGAGCTTTCGTTGCCTTCATCTTCGTCTTCGTCTTCATCATCTTCTGTTTCTGATAATATAGACAAGGGAGTTTGCACAGTTAACATTTGCGGGACAGTTCTTCTTGATTGTATTGAGGAAAATAAACGTGTTGTTAATCTTGAAGAATTTTTATAATGTTCTCTTCCAATCATACCGCTACGATTATTTGTCATAGGCTCATTCGTGGAAGGCTGCATTTCTTTATTTGAAGAGAAAAAATTCATCCTTGATGTTTTTGTTTCTTTATTATTATTATTATTATTATTATTATTATTATTACTATTATTAATACTTTTATTTTTTGTCGCTGTTGTTGATTTTGATACATAATGATTAATGCTATGATTATCATTATCATTATTAGTAGTAGTACTAGTATCTTTATCTTTAATTGTTTCTTTTTGCTTCTCCGCCTCCACCTCCTCTTCCTGTTCCGTTTCCTCCTCCTCTTCATTAATATTTTGCAAATTCGTTAAAAAGGAACCTGATAATCTTTTTTCATTTTTTGGTTTTTGCTTTTGTTGTTGATGTTCATCTTCACTATCTTTTCCTTGCAAACTGTCGTCTTCGTCATAATCATCATTAGTATAATCATCATCCTCCTCTTCAACTTTCTCTGAAATAGAATGACCGTCTATTGATGATATACTGCTACCACTATTATTATCATGATAAAAAGGTCTCTTTGGACTATTAAGACTGATACCCAAAGTCCTTCTACTACCACTAAAACCTCCTAGTTGTTGACGTTTTGTAAATGGTTGATTAGAAATTATTGTCGGAGAAAATAGTGATGTTGTAGGAGATGATGAGTAAGTTATTGATTCGTTGTTATTTTTTTGATTTTCAGAATTAATATTAATAATGCTAGCATTATTATTATTTTTATTTTTATCTACAATTGTCTTTGTTTTACCTGAATTAAAAAATTCATCAGGTAATTTTAATGAAGAAATGTCTTTTTTAAATTCGATATTGTCAATATTGCTATTACTAGTACTATTACTATTACCATCCATTTTCTCATTTTCGCCCGTATCCTCCACTTTAAACCCTTCCTCCACTTCCTCTTCCTCCAATATGATTTCACTGCCCATTGTATCTAAATTAGGTTCTTTTGAAGTTAAAAATAATTTGTTATCACCACTATTGTCACTAATGTTATTATTAGTAGAACTGGCTAGAGAAGAACTACAATAACTATTTAAAGATGCATTCTGATTGTAAGATTTTTGGCCAGGCTGAAAAATAAAAAAATTATTTAAAGCTTAGTAATTTTACTCTACATTGGATTTTTTATCTTGCGTTTTAATAATACCTGATCATTTCCTTCCGGTCCTTCTTCTAAATCATTTAATGACTTAAAGCGTGGACTTGCTAACTTCATTCTACTACGAGGAGAAGAGGGCCAACCCTCCATAACCATTCTTCCAGCACGTTCAGGCCGAGTTGTATCTATAGAAGGTGTGGGCCATTTTTCAATCCCGCCTGGTTTTGATAAAGGATAAAATTTTGACTAGAATAATAATAATAATAATAATAATAATAATTGTAATATTGTTATTTAATTGTTAAATTGTTATTAGTGATAAGTGATAAGTGATTATTATTATTATTATTATTATTATTATTATTATTTTAATTATATTAAAATAAAATTACCCTCTTATGTGCTGATAAATCAGCCAAAGTACTGTTTTTAGTTGGAAAATAAGGAGTGCTAGAGATTGGATATTTATCCTCTTTTTGACTTAAAATCCCAGTTCTACCCGACCCACCATTATTATTATGGTTATTGCTAGATTTAGTTGTGGTGATAGTAGACATTCCAGAAGACATGTCAAAAGATGAGTTAATAGGGTGTTTAATAATGGGTGGAGTAATATTTGAATCTATTATTATTTCAGACTTTAATTTTTCGTCAATAACATCGACCTCAATTCCAATTCTTCCAATGTGATTAATATTAGTACTACTTTTATTTTTATTATAAATGTTATTATTGTTGTTATTGGTGGTGTTGTTGTTATATTCTTCTATTATAGTAATCATTTGATTACTATTAATATCACTATTTTCGATTTCGCTGATTTTTTTGTTGATGCTTTTTTTCCAAGAAGTTGAATCGTTTTCTTGTTGTTCTAAAATAATAATGTTGTTGTTGTTTTTGCTGCTATATACAAGTGATTGTGAGTGTGATAAATTTTGTTGTTGACTTTTATTATTCCCATCAGACGACGATGAGCTCTTGCTCAAAGTCGTCTTGCTTATGTGCGAAGGTGATTTTGAAGAAGAGAAGGATGTTGGACGATGACTAATATGGATATTGTCCTTATTGTTGTTGTTGTTGTTGTTGTTGTTGTTGTTGTTGTCGATGTCGATGTTGTCGATGTTATTGTTATTGTTATTGTTGTTGGTTTCTGTATTGATAACTTGTTGTTGTTCTTGTTGTTGTTTTTCTTCTTGTTCTTTTACTTTTACTTCTTTTACAAATACAACTTTTTCTTCTCGCTGTTGAGAAGTATTAATATTTTCAAATATGATCTTATTGTTATTTGGTGTTTGAAGGAAGGTTTTATTTTCTTGACCAGAAGAAAGTTGTAAGGAATTTTGAAGTGAAGGTTGTAAAGGAAAAGAAGAAGAAATATTTTTGTTTTGGAAATTTTGTTTTTCTTCGAATAATTTATTATTATTATTACTATTATTGTCAAGAGAAGAAAACGCTTGAATAAAATTAAAATTAATATTGTTGTTATTGTCTGTTTGAGTTTCTTTTGTGTGACTAATATTGTCCTGATTACTTTTTTTGGTAACACTATCATTCGTTTTTGACCTATCTTTTTCAATTTCGTAATAATTAATTTTAAGCGGAGTGTGTCGTTGTGTAATATTAAAAATAGCTTGTTGTTCTATTTGTGGCCTTTGTTGTTTGACATTTATTATATTATGTCGTGGTGGTTGTCGTTTTAGAGGTTTTTCTAGTGGTGGTTGAACGTTAAATGAAGAAGAAGGAGAAGGAGAATGTGGAGAAGAAAGGGAATGTGAAGTAGTAAAAGAATGTGGGGAAGTAAGAGAACGTGGGGAAGTAAGAGAGTGTAGAGAAGAAGGAAATTTGTTATTATTGTTGCTGTTTTCGTTGTCGTTGTTGTTATTATTATTAGTATTAGTATTACTATTATTATATAAAGGTTCCATTATTATATAATAATACTAAATATAATAAAATAATAATAATAATAATATTTTATTAAAATTAGATCTAATTTTTTTTTTGGATTTTTTTTTTAAAAAAAAAAATTTGAGAAAAAAAAGAATGGTAAAATAAAATTTTCATTAATATTAAATATTGTTGTTGTAGCGAATAATAATAATGATAAGTATATTAATAAATATTATTATTTGTTTTTTATTTGATTATTATTTATAAATTAAAATAAATAATATATATAAATATATTTTATCGAAGATCTTTTTTTTTTGGAGGGAAAATTTTCTGGAAATCGAAAAAAAACATCTTCTGCAATCAAATTAATCAAAATTTAAAATTTAAATGATGTGTAGTAGTTAATTTATTAATTTTTTATTTTTATTTTTTTATACATGTAGTGTAATTTCATTCGGAAATTAAAAAAATAAAATATTTGATGTAATATGTGTGTGTGTGTGTGTGTGTGTGTGAAGTAAGATTGTTATAATAATATTTAATTAATATAATATTAATAATATTTTTAACAATCCACTTAACGCTTGGACTATTTTCAGGTTTGAAATTTTGATCTAATTATTTTATTTATTTGGAAATATTTATTTGTTTACAACTGCCACGAGACGAAATTATAATAAATTGGGTATACCGTTACACGAGATATATATAACTATGGTCCCGTCCATCAAAGTTCGAAGGAAAACTCCACGGACCACACCAACCAATTAAATCATAGTAAAAATATCAAGCATACAAACAAGCCACAATGCAAGTTTATGTTTACAAATAAATCTGTTCCATAGTGTACATTTTCTATATGAGGCTACGGGTATGGGGAAATAAGATTACCCACAGTCTTAAATACAAAATACTAATAATACATGAGTAAATAAATCATAATTACCAAATAAATAAATTTTCATAAATTCCAATGTAAATAAATGCTAACCATCAAATATTCTTTTCAGATTAGTCTCTATTATTATTATTTACTTATTTGTTACTGGAATAGCAAGATGCCGAGTCTGGATCGCTTCTTTCGTAACTTCTGTCATATTAAAAATAAAGTTGAATTCTGGAGAAATATGAACTCTTTCTTTTTTACAAATCGTAAATATTTAAAATTACACAAGCACATATAGTACATGTGGGGAGTACTGCAACAAAAACAAGTCAATGTACAGGAAATTACAGGGTTAAAAATGTTGTCATCACGAGTGTTTTGAAGTGAGATAATATCAAGAGAACAATATTGTGAATTACTCCTTTGTTTAGGGCAACGGTGAGCATATTGCCACAAAATAAATTTCGTGGTACAGGATCACAATTGCAGTTGGTAATTAATTAGTCCAAAAGTGTAGGTTGAATAAGTCACTCAAAGAGGCTTAACTGCTAATAATTATTTTATAACAAGGGCAAGAAAGAAAAAATTCCTTGTATATTAACAAAAGTTTTATCAAAAAGAGAAAAAAATCAATAAACACTAAAATGTGACAATTTAATTATTAATTACCTAATACTAATAAAAAGTGGCAAATTGTCTATCTTTTCTTGGCCCTTTTTTAATGATGGAAAATAGCTGCCAATCATAATCAAATAGGCTTATCATTCATTTCTCACTTCATATGTGTGTGTGCTTTAGGGAAATTGCTTTCACATTCTGCTGCTGCCTTTTCAAAGTCTTTTTTTTAAAAAAAAAAATAATATTATCTTTTATTTTAGCATGATAGGCATTAGGTCCTTGCACACTAATATTAGGTTTATAATTGAGTAAAACAATTATCATTAATAAGAATATCAAAATCAGAACGAAATTCATATCTGGTGAATTGCTTCAGAGGTTGTTTTTTGGAATTTCCTTCTTTTTTTTCGCAGGTCACCTGATTCAACGTGTTGCAAAAAAAAACTTGTTATTCTATAGTGATAACTTAAAAAATAAATCAGTAATAGTAAATGCTTAAAAATATTTTAATTAGAAATACGTCACCGTTGCTTTTAATTGCAAGCCGGCATCTTGATTTTTTTTACCAATTAGGGATCAATCGGTAAATTATTTGACAAAAAAGAACTAGCAGTGGATTAATTGTGTGCTATCACGTGGTTTCAGCAGTAATCCCTTCTCTATAAGCCACACATCACTTGTTTAACTTATTAATATTCCCTTATGAATATTCTCATAATATAATCGCAAAACCCAAATCTAGTTAGAAAATTATTTGAATTTTATTATCTAATGTAATAGGATCGTAAAGTTATTTTAAATCTCCGAATTATCCGGAATCACAAGAATCGGATGACGGATGACGTTTTAATATTAAAAAAAAAAAACAGAAATTCCCACTCGAAAGGAATAAGAGGATAATATGTGATATACTGTATATGTTAATATATTTCAACAATGATATCACTGATATCATCATTAGACGTATTATAGATAATAGAGAATGTTTCTTATCCAAAATCTATATACAAAAAACAACGTTTTCACGTAATATAATTTGTATACATGTAATTTTACTTATTGAATTATAGAATACAAAAATTTTGCAGAAATCAGAGAAGAAGGAATGGAAATATTTAAAAGATTCAAAAATATATATATAATCATAAGTAAATAATGGCTTAATTTTTTGAGTCAATTTGTGTTCCTGCTGGAGAAACATTATTATTTATAAATAAAAGGAACATTATTTTTTTTAAAAATGATTTTTTCCCAGCTGATTAAAACAACTCTCAGATGGTGCCGGGCTTGCTGGTATTGCCGAGTAAATTCTCGTTTGCATAGCAAGATTTGGTAAATTATTTTTTTTTTTTGGCCCGTGGTTTACAAATTATATTTGTTTTATTATTATTGTTTATTTTCAAAATATTATTAAACTTTTTTTTAAAAGATAAATAGAAAGAATTAGCATCAAGGATGGAAGTTATGCCGTTTTGTGGGACACAAATTTACAATTTATCCAGTAAAAGAAAGAGATTTTCCCAAGGAATGGAATAGAATCTCCTATTCGAATTCGAATCATTTGTTTTTACTCGTTATTATTATTATTATTATTATTATTATGAATTTGAATGTTCGAATCACATTGAATATTATTCGAATAAAACAAATAAAACGAATGAACGAATAATTCTAAAGAGAATTTGTATTATGAATAGAAACATTAATGTTCTCCTATTTGTAGGATGCAAAATAGAAAATAATTTTGCCCGTATTGTCATAATCGACTATCAATCAACAAAGAACAATTTTGTAACAAACGGTTTAGAGATTTGATGATTCGTTATTTATTATTAAATTTAAAAAAAATTTTTTTTTTTAAACAGTTTAAATATATGCAAGATATTCATTAGACAGACATTCAGCATTACTAAAAATGAATAGATAAATATATAAATGTATAAATATGTACTAATAAAATATTCATAACTATATTTAGTTTTTTTTTTTTTAAAAAAAATAATCATCCATACATCAATTTTTATATAAAGGTAAAACTCTATTCGAGCCAATATCAAATTTTCTCAAGTCGAGACTACAGAAAATCATATCAAAAGATATTAATAGATCCACCTTATTTATTATTATTGATTATGAATGATGTCAGCAAATTACAATTATATAATACCAGTTATGGTATAGCAAAAATGGTTTGTGTTGCAAATGATGACGAAGCACTTGTTTCTATTTATTTATAATAAACAAACACAGTAGTACATGTATTACTATATAGTTAATTGGATAAATGTAGAAAACTGAGTTTTCGTATGGGCACGTTGAGCAAATTGGACGAGTAAAGGTGAAAAAAACTATTATTAAACTATTAATTCAAATGTGTGCGATCTTGTGGAATGAAAAGAAAATGTGTAAAGTTTGTTCTTCCCATGTTTTTGTTAATTACACAAATGTGTTCATAACTCCTCATCAAGCTTTAGTAATAATAATTTTTTTAAATTGTTTTTTTATTTATTTATAACTATAAATGCTATCGTGATTTCGATTTTTGGTTGAAAAAAACAAAAAAAAATGCATATACAAGTATTCATCAAAACCCAAGATTCCTTCTGTCCAGATAGTAAAAAAATGTTATTTTCAAATTGTGTAATTATAGAATTGGATAAAAAACTATTCCAATTTAATTGAAACTTTGTTTTATTTTGTAATTTTACATGAATGAATATATCAAAAAAAAAGCTAAGCTGCCATGTGGTGTAACTTTAATAGGTTTTTGTTGTATATATTTGTGTAATAGCAATTAAACAAAAACATGGATTCTTTGTCAGGTGACACCTCGGTTTGAACCACCAGTTTACTATTATTACTATTACTATTACTATGTTAATTCTATTCCAAAATTACTGCGAACCCGAACATTCGATTAAGCACAAAGATTCAACATATTTTCACATAGAACTTCGTATAATATTTTATTCTACGTGGGAAACAATAATTTTTTGATTAAAATCAAGGACAGATAATTTCAAAAATTACCATTAGACTTATATATATAATAATAATAATAATATAAAATTTAACACTTTTTGTTAAAATATAACATATTCTGGTGACTATTGTATTATAAAGCTTCATTCTATCGCACAGCTTGAAATAGACAATCAATCAATTGCAATATTGAAAGATGTATGAATATATCGAGAAAATTTTGTGATTTACATAAATTGTGCAATTTTGTGAATCACAAAATCTATCTGTATATACATGATCTTTTTGTAAAAATAATGGTAAGACATTTCATTTCCTTAACATAAAAAATTTTTTTTTTCACTTCTTCTAACCAAAAAGTAGCTTTTCTATTCATTTTTCAAGACTTTAATAGGTCACCAGGTGACTGTAGAATTAAAAAACGATTTAGCCATTACTGGTATCTTAAGCTCGGTTGATCAATTTCTCAATATCAAATTGGACAATATACGAGTAATTGACGATGCAAAATATCCTCATATGGTATTTATTTATATTTATACTCGTCTTGGATCAACTAGATCAATAAAAATTTTCAAAGATCCCTTCTATACACGCATACGCATATATATTTTTCGCTGTTTAATTTTAATTGATTTCTAACATTTTAAGATGGCAGTAAAGAATTGCTTTATACGTGGATCTGTTGTAAGGTATGTCCAACTGCCTGCCAGTACTGTTGACACATCATTATTACAAGATGCCGCTAGAAGAGAGGCACAACAGCCTACTACTGGTGGTGGTGGTGGTGGTTCTCACACCATATCTCGATAGATAGAAATAAGTTTTTTCAAAATGTAAAATTATTTTTTCTTTTATACTAAAATAAATTACATATATAGGTTAATAAATATATTTTTTTCAAAAATTTCTAAATCACTTTATAAATTAAATGTTTTTTAAATTTCTTTTTAGAATTTAATAAATTATATATTATTAGTTCAATAACGATTTTCATTACTTTTATATGAAAGATTAGAGAAAGAACTAGCAAAGGCAGAAAAAGAATTAGAAAGAAACATAGAAAAATTCTAGGTTTACAAAAGGACTATTATACAAATATGAGGAAAACAGAGCAAGTGAAATGTAAAATATAATTTATTTCATATAAATTCATTTATGAATTATTTATTATTAGAAATTACTAAATTTATAGCATTTCTTGATTTAGTAATTTTGCGTTTTAATATTAATATTTATGTCGAATACATCACAATTGATGATACTGAAAAGGATCACGAAATGGATGTAAATGAACAAGAAATAATTTTAACGATTACTCCAAGTGAGCAAAATCAAAAAGTCATCAAGATTTCCATCTGTTTAACTTTATTAGCAATAAAAAAATTAAACAATATACATTAACCAACGATCTGAAAAGTTGCAACTAAGCAACAACAATGAAATTAAGCCATTAAAAAACCTTCAAAAAATTTTGATTATTTTAATATAAATGATTCAATCCACGTGCTGGTCTACAAATTTTAACATTCAAAGGTCATAGAGAAAGTGTGCTGTGTATAATTTTTGGTACTGCCACACATAATTTTGACACCTTTACTATTAAAATCAGGTGATCTACACATGATCACAAAATATTTCTATCGGAATATCAATAACAACGTAAATATTTCTTCTTTAGTATCAGTAATTGACCTGTTAATGAATCAGATTTCAAAGCGTTTATTAAAGATGAAACAATAAATTTATTAAAGAAATGTTCTCTCCTTAATAAGTCATATAATAGAGGTCCATGTAATGAATTATAAATACTGACTAGACAGACTTTGTAAAATCCATTTTGGGAATGAACTAAGATTATCTCCTAAAGTTTGTAATCCAGTGAATGATGAACAATCGTGGAATGATTTACAGAAACTTGATGATACTTTGATGCCATTTCTTTGCTTAATCAGAATCCAAACTGAGGTGGCTCACGTCTTAATAAGGTTTTTTCATAGGATGACTTATTTTTATGAATGAATGAAAGGATATGACAATAGAGAATTGGGAAACAAATCGATTCAAAAAATTGGCACTCATGGGAGCAAGCAACCTTTAATTTTCCTCTATATCCAGATTTTCGTAATAATTATTTCCATTAAAAATTCAGGAATCTCTTTATACTTACACTAAGTCATCACTGAGTGAAATTTTATTATTGTGCTTGGTTTCAAATTAAACAATTAAATTTTTTTCTGAACTTGAAAGATTATAAAGAGGAAAACTATCCTTTTGATAGGGGATACATTCCAATATTTTGGCAATGATATCTTAATAGGAAAAAAAAAAGAATTGGAAAAAGAAAGCAAATTGGTTCAGTTGCATGTACACTCCCCTACCATAAATATCCGACCACCTGATGATCATTTTAATCAAACCGGGACTGTGTATTAAGTAAACATGATTTTTAAAGTTAATTTGCCTCGTCGAGTTAGCATTTAGGATGAAAATTTAGGATGAAAATTTTAAATTAGACAAAAAATTCCATGATTTTTATGAAAACTTTGAGCTTAGTAAAAACCTTCAAAGCTCATTTGAATCATGGATTACGTCATTAAGTAAGTCCGCTTAAAATATCTTGAATTATATATGGCTAAAATTTGAGAAAATTTGATCTAGACAACAAAACGTAAAAGCCTTAAAATTTGCATTTTGTCAACTTTATTAAGTGTTTTATATAATAAAATTACGAGGTGGTCGGATATTTTTTTAAACCCTTTTCATAAACTAATTTATGTCAACACCATACTGTAGATACATGTAATCTGTTACGTCGAGCACATTTTATTAATGAAATAATATACATTACAATGAAGAAATTTGACCTTTATTACATGTAAAGATTCCGATTGAAAATTTGCTTTTTTGGACTATTTGCTAAATATTTCTATTAATGCCATACTAAACCTTTCGAAGCTTTTGTAATTTACAGATTTTGATATCAAGTACAAGTCTACTTGGTAAAGTAAAAAGGGATTTATTTAAGAAAAAGTTACTTTTTTAGTAAGGACTCTTTTCATTTGACATTACACAACTTGGGTGGTCGGATATTTACGGTAGGTGAGTGTAGAATATTTTCAATTTGTGTATGTTCAGCTTCTTTTTTAATCAAGTTGTAATTGTTTAAAGGCTATTATATATATATATATCTATTTTTTTTAATTATACTTGGAATTATAATATAATTTGATTTTTTAACTTGGAAAAGTTATATCAATGAGTCAAATTCAGCTTCAATTTATCAATCATATAAAAAAGAAATGAATTGTAACATAAACTTTTGGCAAAATTTCAAAAATTGCATTAATAATAGTAAGCAACAAAAAAGTTGCACATTATAAATAATGTTTTGGAATTAGCCATTAATAGTATTGTTGAATAAATTAGAGAAAGCAAGATGGCCTGAAAAATAAATTGATAAAATATGGTTATTTAGAAGATCTTATTAATTAATGTAGCTACAAAATTTGTAATTATAAAATTTATTGAAAGTGGTAATTGTTTGATTATAATAAAGATATATATATTTTTTTTTTTTAAAAATTTTGTTATTATTATCATTATTATTATCATTATTATTATTATTATTATTTATTATAAATATATGATATCTAAATATCTACACATCAATTCTGCTCTCAATTTCCCCATCACCTTTAGTCCAATAACCCAAAAAGAAATAAAAGAAAAAAAATATTCCTACTACACACATGATCAAATAACACATGTATTGTTGATGTCTAATGGCTGTCATATGTTTTAATTTTTCAACTGTGCCATTCAATGATCCTCTAAATGTTAGAAATGAGTCTCCCTATATATTATTTATATGTATGAAGAAAAAAAATTTTAATTTTGTCAATTGATCAAATAATAATTAATTATTTCTAGAATATGAAAATGTGATTTTTACAAACCGTGTCATCTAGAAAATTTACTTGCTCATTAACATCATTATGAATATCAAGTGTAATCTATATTTTTTAAAATTAAAATTAAAAATTCTATAAATTAGTAAAAGTTTACATAGAATTACGTAAAATTACTCTGAATTACAAATATACTTTATGTAAAGTTGAAAGTTTATCATTCAATTCTTGTAGTTGTAAATCATTTTGTTGCTCATATATTATATTATTTGCAATATCGGTATCATGTTTCGTTATTCTCGAAGATGATTCTTCATTACTATTACCAGCATTACCACCACCACCACCACTGCCACTGTTATCGCCACCTTTTGATAATAAATTTATTCTATCTGAAGAATTTGTCCAAAGTGTACTACTCATAATTTCTTGTGATTCAAAATATAAATTTATAAAATTTTCTTCTGTGTGTGTAAATTTTGTATATAATAAATATATTTGATAGAATAACCAAAAAAATTGAATTAAAAAAAGGTATTTATAAATGTTGGAGTGTGTCACATTACACGAAATTTCCATGCGCACGAAAATATATTAGTTATATATTACACAAAATAAATACCGAAATTAGTAATTAATTAGCTTTTAAATATATTAGAAGAGCTTAAATGATCACATATTGGAAAAACTGTTGATCCTAAGTTGTTTGATGATTATCCATGGTTGGGAAATCACGATGGGGAAACAGTACTTGCAAGAGGCATATCTTTATTAAGGATAAAAAAGAATTAAAAATCATATGAAGACCAATGAGCATAAAAAATCCGAATAATTACTCAAACCAAATATTCCAAGACAATTAAGCACAGAAAAATTGTCAATTATTTCTTAATGAGAAATATTTACTTCTACTCAAAATACAATATTTCAATCAACAATTATTCTGATTTATGTAATTTACTGATATTACAAATTGAAAATAATAAAGAATTAATAATCAATGATAATACCACTCACTACCTTGAAACCTGACTCTTTAAAAAACCATCACCATCTAAATCAAAAGATGAAAGCTATAATAATCATGTATCTGGTGTTGAATTTTTAGATAGTATAACTTATATAATTGGTAAGTCACTTTTTGAAGAACTAAATTCTTCAATTTATTGGAGTATAATGATTGGTGAAGCCAATAGTGTTGATGGTGATAAGTATTTAGCAATAGTAGGAAAATATATCATCAATAATATGCCATACATGAGATATTTGGTATGACTAATCTAGACACAATTGATGGTGAAAATATATTTAACCAGATTATATCATTTTTGCTCATTAAAAGAAATATCTTATCATAATATTATCATTTTGGAAGTGATGGTGCTTCTAATATGATCAGTATGGGTTGATATTTAATTATGTGAAAAATTTTTTTTTATTTTAACAAATCAATGTTTTAATTGCTATGATACTTAAGCAAGATTTAAAAAAAATCAACCTGCTCATGACCTCAAACCATTGTATATCACATAGACTTCATTTGCACAGTTTTGTAATAAAGGCCAAACTTTAATACATTTAACTATAGTTTATTTTTCATTGCCAGTGATAAATTCAACATTAAAATATTCTATTTGATGCAATAAAATTTTTTCTTTTCCAAAAAAAAGGGACAACCAAAAAGAATTGTTATACAACCATTGTCATTAAAACAAAAAATTTATTAATTGACATAACATGGTACCTACTACCCTTAACTGATTGACCAAATTGATTAACTGGTTAAAACAAAACCTTAACCATTAACCATTTAGTTGCAACTCAAAGTCAACTGTCAACATTGGTGATGGTAATCACAATCATTATGTTTTGGAGCCTGAATCCACTAATAAAAAGATGCCAGCCTTTGGAGGTATCAATATGAAAAAATACATATATAGTCTATACTATTCTGACAAAATGTTGACAGCCATTATTAAGATAATAACCTGGATTCTGTGCCCATTTCAGCATTTCAAACCATTTCCTGACATTGATTATTCTGTGTCACAATCTTTCCATAATGTTGAAACAATTCAGGTATATATGCCGGCTAAGCTGATAAATTTCTTAGCCAGCTAATGTCACTACTCCTACATTAGTGTTCCATGTCGCAATCCAAAA